GTGGGGTGCCCTGGGGGGTTAAGGAAAGATTACAGGGGCACAGGGCAGATGGAAAAGGGGATGTCAGGGGGCTGGGTGTAGGGGTGCGGGTGGGGGATGAAGGCAGGGATGGGGTGAACAGGGCTGTAGGAGCATTGTGGAGGCTCAGAGTGGGACCTGGGCTCTGGCAGCACTTGTACACGGGGTTTGAGGTACCCCGGACACCTCTGTGTGTACGTGATGTGATAAACCCAAGGGTCTCTGTGGAGAACATCTGAAATGCCGCAAGGCTATAGCATGAAGCATTTCTGTTGGGGATGAAGGCAGGGATGGGGTGAACAGGGCTGTAGGAGCATTGTGGAGGCTCAGAGTGGGACCTGGGCTCTGGCAGCACTTGTACACGGGGTTTGAGGTACCCCGGACACCTCTGTGTGTACGTGATGTGATAAACCCAAGGGTCTCTGTGGAGAACATCTGAAATGCCGCAAGGCTATAGCATGAAGCATTTCTGTTGTTTGCAAAGACACCCTGAAATATTGCTGAAATACAGGGAGAGGTGTTCAGAAGGGATGCCCCTTGCTACAGAAACAGCTCTGACTGGTGATTGCCCCAGATCACTGCATGCAATTGAGGACAACCTGTGTCACTCAGGAGCACATGAGGGTCGCGTCTCTATCCCGTGCATGTCAGATCCTGTCATCGCTCTGCAGTTGAGTGGGTGGATCAAACCCGCTCCCCCAGGTAGTCCAGGAAAGGTGCTGAAGAGCCCAGTATGGCGGCTGAGCAGCTGGGAACAGGACAGTCACAGGCATCTCCTTCATGCTGCATCTGAGAATGCGGTTTCTGTGGTGGAGACCCTGAGTTTGTTTTGTAGGTTAAGATTTGAGGGCCAAAGCTGGCATCAGCTGGCTGAGCATTGTTTTAACGTCTCTGAGTTGCTGTAGTGTGATTTGGGGTTGTCCTCTGAGAGGCTGAGAGCTCATCTGTAGGATGTGGTGGTGTATTTTTGAGGCTGTGGGTGAGGAAATTGGACCCCTGACTCGTCTTCCTGCATTCAGCAAAGGATTCTCTCTGCTGCTGGTCTCTCATTCAGCCCAGATTTTGCTGCTCTTTATCCTCTTTTTACTGGTACTTGGGGATTGCCAAAATTGTTCCTCTCCTTCCCCTTCTTCTTCATAACGATGATGTTGAAGACAGTACATGGTTTGGATTCTCACACCAGAGTGGGAAGGTTATTTGCTTGGAAGATAATCTATCTGGGCAGAGGCAGGCTCTCAGCACGCTACAGCGGCGCTCCTTCAGATGTGTGGTGGTTCGGATGCAGAGGTGGCAGCTGGGACAGCGGTTAAGAATGACCCATGTCCTGTGCTCAGCCTTCAGCACATCCCATAAGCTGCCCAGCCCTCACCACGGGGCTTGGGATTGAAAGCTCTTGGTGCTTTACTGGTCAGGAGGGGTTGGTAGATCCAGATTTGGGCTGTCTGCTGCAGCTGCTTGGCGGAGAGGGGAGCTTCCAGGCCACTGGCATAGTGTTGCCCGTGCTTGTGGACACCAGAATGTTTCCTCCAGCCAACTCAAATAATTTAGGACGGAGGTTTCTTGTGTTCCAGGAGTGATCACAGGTGCGGGACTGTGCCTTTCATGAATGCTGAGGTACTATGAAATACTGAAATGAATCGGAGAAAAACTGCAATAGGAAGGGACCCCTGGAAGTCTTTGGCCCAAAGCAGAGCTAACTTCAAAGGTAGTTCAGGTCGCTTGTGGCCGTGTCTGGTTGAATCTGCCCAGGAAGGAGATGTCTGCATCTGCACCCCGGTCCCAGGGCTGACCACACTGGTAATGAAGAATTGGTTTTTTTGGGGTGCGTAGTCAGAATTTTTCTTGCTGCAGCTTGTTCCTGTCACTTCTTGTCCTTTCATGATGCACTTTGAGAAGTTTGGCTTCATCCTCTGACTCCCAGGCAATGTTGTTCAGATGGGAGGAAAACATGCGATGGCTGACTTGCCATCTCCTTTGGTGCAGCCCTGCTGGTCTGACGCACAGTCCTGGAGTGCTGCGGGGATGTGGGAGTGCTGCGGGCTGAGCCACAGTGAACTTGGAAGTCCTGCTTGGTCTTCTCCTTCTGGTGGTACCTGTGGGAGCAGTGCTGCTTTCGGCATTTATGGTTGGTTGTGTTTGCAAAGGCATTGCTCTGAGGCAAATCTTCACTGGCTGCAAGGAAGAGCTTATGATACGGTTCACATCTCACATCGCATGTGTTTTGCCATGATCAGTAGACTGTAACTGTTGAAATTGGAGAGTGAGTGAGGCTTTTGACTTTTGCGGAAGCTTTTACAGTTGAGAGACCCTACCTGTAAACAGCTGCGACTCCTGCTTCCTTAACCGATACCACCTAAGGAGGGAACAAGAACCATGGCTGTAATAAGCATCTGAAGATCCTTACGGTCTGCAAGGACCACTTACCCTAACGGGGTTGCTGTGAAGAAGACAGTGAGGCTGTGGCACCACCTGAAGTCTCTGTAGATGTCACCTGTATGACACAGCGTTCCATGATTTTGAGCAAAAACATTTCTGTCAGAAAGCTGCCAGGGTTTGGTGTAACAGGGTTGCATGGCGAGGAGGCTGTCCCTGGTTTGAAGCATGTTATCTCCATAGTGTGTTTCTTCCCACTGACAATGTTGTAAGAAATACAATGTCTTCTGTTAAATTAATGAAGACTACTTGCTTCCAGAAGTTTCCTCCCTGTTTAGTCATTTTAACTTTGGTGTGGAAGCCCCTTGGGCTCTTCCCTTCTTGACTGAGCCACTTACATCAGGTTCCTTAAATCCTTTGCTTACAGGGATGTTTCTCAGGATTGAATCCTTCTTATTGATATTCCCCGGCCTTCCTCACAGGCTTTTAGCAGCCTTTCTTTGGGAACGAAAGAAGCAGATTTATTATTCCAGTCTCGAGCTCGCTAACTGTGTGTGCAGGGGGACTGCCTGAAAATTGGGCTGACTGCCTTTGCTACGGCATTATAGTGGAAGCTGCTGCTCAGTTGCTGATGTCTAATAATCCTTCGGTCTCTTTGCTGTTGTGTCTATATGCCTGGTTCTGTCCTTCTCTAATGAGAATGTTGTAGTTGCTGGAGACAGGTTCTTGGGTTTGGTCCCCCAGGAGAGAGGGAGATGAAGACGAGCCTTTCGGCCCTCAGACTTCCCCACAGCCCTCCAAGCTGGCTTTCCCTTCACTGGCTGTCTTTCATTAACAAGAACATAAACGATCTTCTTTTAAAATGTCCTGTGATCTATTCAGCCGTGTTTCCCTCCAGTTAGAAGAGTATGTGCCGTTTAGGTGTTTCCTGCTGCTGTTCATGCTGGGGATTTACTTCTTGGCAGGTCATCCGCGTGGGTCAGGATGCTGAAGGTGGGTCCAGCTTCACTGGACTCTGGCAGGAGAGAGTTGGTTCAGGTCCTCTCGAGGAAGAGGATGATGAATGGGGATGAATGGAGCCAGAGCACCTCTGTAGCGAGCCAGGGCTCAACGGCTCTGCTGCTGGGGAGTCAGCGTGATCTCAGTGCCTCTGTGCTGCATTTTTTCTGGCTGCGTCTTGGCCTGGGACCACACGGAACCTTTGGGGGCCAGTGTCAGCAGGTTTCCTCTTTGTGCTCTTCACCTAGAAGTAATCTGTTGGTTTTGTTCCTTTCCAGGTCTCTTCACACTCCTGGTAGAAGATTTTGGTGAGTGCAAGAAAGCTTCCTGGGAAGTTGGTTTTGTGCTTGACATTACCCCTAGTCCTTTCTGGTGGGCTTTACATCAGCTTCTGCCCTTTGTTTGCAGGGGTCAAGGGAGTGCAGGTTGAAGAGATTTATGATCTGCAGAGCAAATGCCAAGGGTAAGTCACAGGCGTAAAAGTAGGAGTTTTATTAAGCAGAATGTGTCTGTGGGCCTGGGAATTCATTGCCCGGTGTTCAGATGGGCCTGTGTGAGCTTGTTGGTCATGAAGGTCAGTGTTGTAAGTGATGAACCAGGAGTGCTTCATCAGGTTTGGGGCAGACGGGCAATCTCATGCTTTGAGGAAGACCTTGTGTGGCAGGTGGGTGACATACTTCAAGGGATAAATCTCCCTTTCTCCATGGAGAGTTGCAGTGCCAACCAGTGTGCTTGCAGTGTGCGCTTTCTCCCTGTCTCAGTGCTTTGAAGTGTCTTTAGGGCTGTCAGTTTCTTACAAGCCATTGTCTGAACTCCTCTTGAAAGTGAATACAACATATATTTAAAAGGAGAGGTCATTTGGTGGTCAGGCACTATGCTGCAGGTCAGTCAGTGTCCAGAGGTGAATTTCACCTCCTGTTTCCCTGTCTTAAGACCTGTCAAACCTCAAAGATTTCAAGCCTGATTGTTGTCTGAGCCCGGAGCATCAGCAGCAGCGAGTGACCTCAGTAATGTGGGGCTGGGGAGACTTGTGGCAGGGATGATCACTTCCAGAAAGATGGGGCTGGTGGTTCTGCTTTTCCTCTCTGTCTTTGCTCTGCCTTTGGTTTGAAACAGAAGGTTTCTGGTGCTGGGCAGAGTAGCCCCGCTGATGTGGTCCGTCCAAAAAGATGCAGCTGCTGACTTCTCTCCACAGCCCTGTGTATGGGTTCATCTTCCTGTTCAAGTGGATTGAGGAGCGCAGATCACGCCGGAAGGTCTCTACCCTGGTGGATGAGACGTCGGTGATCGACGATGACATCGTTAATAACATGTTCTTTGCTCACCAGGTAGGCTGGAGGCGAGGGGAAAGCGTGTATGTGGGTGTTTTGTGTGACACCTCAGGGAAGCAACGTACTGAGAAGCTGCACTGCTCTTGCAGAGACTCTCCCTCTTTCCTGGGAGTCTCTGCACTGACCTCCAGGTTGGAGGGAATCCAGTGAGGGCTGCAAGTCTGTCTGTGGCCTGCGCTCTGAGCAGGTGTGACTCATGGGGGGCACGGTGTGGCTCACTAAACGAGACTGACCTCCTTCCTTCCTTTGAGAGCCAAGGTCAAGTTGCCGCTTTCACAAGTGGTCCTTGCGTCAGTACTTTTCAATTGATTGTGGTCGACACTGAGGGGTTGTTGAAGGGTTGCCTTGTTCCTGCTGGTTAAGATGGTCCTTGTGTCACTCTCCAGCTGATCCCCAATTCCTGTGCCACCCATGCCCTCCTGAGCGTCCTCCTGAACTGCAACAATGTCGACCTGGGCCCCACGCTGAGCCGCATGAAGGATTTCACCAAAGGATTCAGCCCTGAGGTAGGGGCAGGGGTGTGCAGGGCTGTGCACGGGTGGCGCATGTGAATCTGCGTCTCGTTCCCCTCTCGGGATGGTGCTCTAACGAGCTGGCTCCTTTCCAGCCCTTCGTGGCTGTACGCTACGTCGGTATCACCTCTTTCTCACCTTCCTACCTTGCCTTGCTCAGAGCCTTGGTCCCCTGATGCTGGGCACAGCTCTGAGCCTTCTGTTGTGCTATTGACTAGCCCAGGTGTGTTCTCTATGTCTGTGATCAAAAGTCCTCTCTCCTACCTTCAGACCTATCTTAAAGCCTGTGTTTCTCTCTAACTGTAATTTCTTTAGCAGAAGTTGTGTCTTCTTTTCATCTTGGGTTTTACCTGTAACTCAGCAGAGCAGAGGGTGTGCCTGAAAGTTGCTTGCCCAGTCCTGCATATGGATGGAGGGAGTGGGACACCAGCGGGTGAAGCGTTTTGTTTGTTTCCTTGTGACTTCTCAATTGTTTTCCTCTCTTGCTGTTCACTGCAGAGTAAAGGCTATGCCATCGGCAATGCCCCCGAGCTGGCCAAGGCCCATAACAGCCATGCCAGGTGAGTGAGGGGGAATCTCTCACGGCTCACTTTCACTGGAGGAGGCAGGCTCATCACTGACCTCTCGCCTCTCTTGCCCTTGCAGGCCGGAGCCGCGGCACTTGCCGGAAAAGCAGAATGGTATCAGCGCTGTGCGAACCATGGAGGCTTTTCATTTTGTCAGTTATGTCCCCATCAAGGGACGGCTGTTTGAGCTGGACGGGCTCAAGGTCTATCCCATTGACCATGGTAAGAGTCCACCTTTCCCTCTTTGAATCTACTCGTTGACACAGTCAAATAGACACGTGGGTATGTCCAAATGTACATATTCTTTTTCATTGCCACTGAGCATTGGCTAATGTTTGTGGAGAATGGCTCCAATGGCCCCCAGATTTGTCCTGCGTTTTGATAGCTCATTTTGGAGCCTGTGCGCTGGGGACTGTGTCTAGAAGGCAATTATTTCTAAATATATTGCATTACTTTTTCCAGCCTTGCCATTTTCCTCCCCAGTTACTCAGGATCATGAGGTCCTTCTGCAGGTCTGAAATAACTTGGTATTGCAAGCAGACTTTGTCTCCTCCTTACCCTCTCTTTGTGCCAATAACTGCCATATGTTGAGGCACAAGGCCCCAACACAGATCCCAGCAGGCTGCTCAAGTTACTCCCTTCTTTTTCAACTTGACCACTACTTTGGTCTTTCAGACACTTATTTATCCCCAGTAGGACTTTGCTTCTGTCTGTCAAGCCCTTTGGTAAGGGACCCACTTCAGGTACTCAGGTTTCTTAAGCATGGCACCAGATCCAGTGGCAGGTGGATCCCAGCAAGACCTGGGATTTCCTTGGACTTTGTGAGCCCAGAGCCTGTGAATCCCTTGTGGTCTGTAGGGTTCAAAACTCACCTTTTTGCCCTGCAGATAACTCATGTTTTCCATTCGAAAGGCAGAGGCGGGGGGGCTTCTACTGTATGGGCTGACAGCGTGGTCCTTCTGCCTCTTGACTTGCTCCCTGGTATGTAAGGGAGCCATGAGATGGTCTCTTGTGAGGATGGCAGGATCCGCTCTGTGAGTCTGAAGCAGGAGCCTCGGCCTGCTTTGCTAATTCCAGCTCTGTCTCATTTTCACAGGGCCGTGGGCTGATGACGAGGAATGGACAGACAAAGCCAGGAGAGTAATCATGGAGCGCATTGGCCTGGCCACTGCAGGGTAATGTCCCAGGCCGTGGCCCCTGGGACGGGGGGGGTTCCCTGGATTTTTTCTACTAGAAAATTTTCCCATTTTTCCCTGGATTATTTCTACTGTGGTCTCTGTGCAACAAGTTGTGGAAGTGTGGGGGGAGAACGTTGCTTGGGAGGGGTGCAGGTGCACTGCCTCTTTGCTTTCAGCTTGCGGCTGACATCTGCTGTCCCTTCCTGCAGGGAGCCGTACCACGACATCCGCTTCAACCTGATGGCGGTGGTGCCTGATCGGAGGATGAAGTACGAGTCCAAACTGCACATCCTGAAGATGAACCGCCAGACTGTGCTGGAGGCTTTGCAGCAGGTAGGAAAGCCCAAGCCTGGGGTGGGAATAGGTCCTGTTTTGAGGGCATCTTGCTGTGCTGTAGGTGCCCTGGGTTTGGTGTTTTTTTTGGGTTTTTTTTTGCCTTGGGAAATGTCTTCTGGGACGAGGAGATAATGAGACTTGTTGCTTGGCCTTTTGCCGCTCACCTGGGAGGTTATCCATGATGCTGTCAGTTGATTGTGCACATGGGTGCTTGGCGGTTGGCTCACCCTCACGAGTTCTTCTGCAGTGCGTGAATGGGAGGGATGTGTTTTGGGTCACCCTGGTCCAGCACTCAGTTTCTGTCTATCATTTGCCTTCAAGCTTATCCGAGTAACTCAGCCTGAGCTGATCCAGACCCAGAAGTCTCAGGAGGCTCAGCCTCCGGAAGAGGCAAAGCCAGCCAGCAGCAAGACCGTGACTCCAGAGAGCACCCATCCAGGTAGACCCCTGTACCAGTGGTGTTGCCAGCCAGCCAGTCTGACCTGCCGTGGAACGAGCACAGGCTGGCGATGCCAGCTGGCTGACCTGGAGCTTGAGGCAGTTTTATGGTCAGCTTCACTCTTTTCTCCAAGGCCACCTCCATGTGCACTGTGCTGGGGGGTGGTAGATGCCTCTGTGTCTGGGAGGAGTGTTGGAGGGGCGTGAGATTGAGAATGGGAGGGCTTGAACTTGGGGACACTGGTGACAGCTGGAGGTGGAATGGGAGGTGGGTGTGATGGTCTGGCGGAGCATAATTGCTCTTCTGCTACGTGGGGTGGGCAAGGGGTGGCAGAGAACGTTGAATAAAACGTGATGGTGCTGGTCATGATGGGCTGTGCTGTGCTTGTGTGGCAGACAGCACCAATGAGCCCACCAGCCAGGGCCACCCTGCGGCCACGCAGAGCCCGCCCAACAAAACCAAGCCGGTGGCAAAGACGTCAGCGAGCAGTATCAATGGGGCGCCTCCAGCAAACCCCAACCCCATCGTGCAGAGATTGCCAGCCTTCCTGGATAATCACAACTACGCCAAGTCCCCCATGCAGGTAGGCTGAAGCTCCAGGCCAGCAGCACGCCTGACTTGAGCTGAGCTTTTCACTTCCAGTCCCTCACCTCCACGGGACTCTGTCAGCCAGTCTAAGCCCTTCCCCTGCCCTGCAGCCTGCCTGCCCTTGCGCTAACCCGGGCTGGAAGGCGAGATGGTAAAACTGACCTGGCAAAAGTGGTTAGGGTCAATGTGGGTCAACTGAGCAAGCATAGGGAAGAGTCCCCTGTCTCCTCTCGAAAGGGGCAAGCCCTGGTGCTCAGCTGGACTGAGGACATGTCCGCTGGGTGTTTCCTCCCTGCCCTGCTGCCAGCAGGTAATCAGCAACGGTGTTTTTGCAGGAGGAGGAAGACCTTGCAGCAGGAGTGGGTCGCAGCCGGGTCCCAGTCCGACAGCACCAGCAGTACTCGGATGATGAGGATGACTACGACGATGATGATGAGGAGGAAGTTCGTAACACCAGCTCGGCCATCAGGTGATGGCTTGAGCCGAGGGCGGGGGGCAGGGAGCTGACATCTGAAGAACCACCTGTAGTGGCTCCCAGATGCCTTTCCTGAGCGCTGTTGGCTGTGTTAGAGCTGGCACCTCTGCGTGCAATTAGGGCTGTTCCCCTCTTCTCCTGCCATTTTACTGTTCACTTACTGGATTTTGTAAAGCTCTTCTGTAGCTTTTCACAATCAACCCTGAATTCTGTCTGCCCTGAGCGTAACTGTATTGGCAGCAGGCTTTAGGGAACCTCAGTTGCCCAGTGCCGATTGCCAGGTCAACTCCTGGTGACAGCGTTGGTGTGCTGGGACTGCTGTGATGGTCAGGAAGGTGCGGTCACAGCGAGGCTGCTTTTGGGGCTTCTGGAAGAAGAGATGGGGTACACAGCCCCCTATGCCTCCTGGCTGCATAGGATTACCTGCAGC